TAAAAACAATAAACAAAATATGTAAATGAAGCTAAGAATGTTGAGCAAGTTTCTTTTGTGTACAAAGCATGTGAACCTGTTCCTTCTTTAACAAGTTTTTTGAAATATAAATGACCTTTCAAATTTGTCGAAACATTTTTCGAAATCTATGAATGCCAAGTATAGTTTTTTACGAGAACATGATGTTTCATCAATAATAGCTTGTAAAAGAAAAATACAGCTGACAGCTTTTTCCCTTTTGGAATCCATATTGATTGGTTTTGTTATATTTGGTTATCCATTTTGTAAGACGATTTGATCAAACTTAAGAATATATTTTGCAGTGATAGTTATAAGCGTTATCCCTTTTCATTAATGTCCACTCCCTTGAATATTGGAACTATGATTCCTGACCCCGTTACATTAGATATTCTCCTGATTAAACAATTCTGTTAAATAATTTTAGTATTATTTGTGAAATAAATGGAAACGTGTGTTTCTATTTCAGCGATCACTATATCAGAACCACTACATTTAATATCATTTTGTGAATAGATTGCTTCTTTTATGTCTGACATAGTTATTTTACAATGTCTCCATCCCTCATAATTACCACTTACGTTCAAATGTGTATAATCTGAACAATAGAAACATTAAAAAGCACCTCTTTGACCGCCCCTGAAGACGCCTCACCTTCCATAGTACGATGAATAGCATTCACCGGCGCTGAAATGTACACAGAAAGAACAATTAGTCTTTTTGACCGGCGATTCCTTCGTTTGGAGCCAAATCTCTATAAATGTTTCAATAAGGGTTTGTTTGAATAATAAGCATCGTTCGGTGCTATTAAGATTTCCTTCAGTACATGTTTTGGAAATACAAGAACCCACGACGGGTAAAAATGGGTTAATAAAGAGGAAAGTCAGGAGGGTAGAATCACATTCTAGTTTTCTTAAAAAAAGCTTTGAATTTTATATAAATGTTTAAAAATTTAATAAACTCATCCTGCGATTGACGGTGGCTTTCAAACAGATCGTGTTATGCCTGCAGTTTTTTGTATGTAATATAAGTTAAATGAGTGTCCATCTGTCAAAAAAAGCATAAACAATAGACGTTGGAGCACAGAGTTGTGATTATTACCTTCGTTGCGTTCTTTGAACGCCGCCTTTCCTTGTTGATCTTGTTTCTCATATTTTGTGCAATTACACAAAGTATTAGTCTTTAAGATAAATTCTGATCTGAAAAGTAGATCACTGTAAAACGGCCATTGAGACCCAGAAAGTACAGAGAAACCTGTGACAATAACGAAGGAGGTAGTATATTATTATTATACTAATTGATTGTATATAAAACTAATTGGTTGTTATTTTATATAAAACTTATTGGTTGTTTAATTATGCAATACCTATTGGACGTTATTTTATATAATACTTACTGGTTGTTTTATTATATAATACTTATTGGTTGTTATATAATACTTATTGGTTGTTATTTCATATAATACTTATATAATATCATATTATATTTAAGAAATAATATATCCCAAACAGTGATTTTATCGCTCAATTACATCACTGTTTGGAGTTCGGATGCGAGGAATTATATCACGAGGGCGTAGCCCGAGTGATACAATTATGATGCTCACCCGAACCACAAACAGTGAAGTTATCAAGCGATAAAATCACCGAATTTGATATGTTATTTTGATTCTAACACGATATTAACAAATAAATTCTGCCATAAAAAAAACTGATATTAAACTAAATTGCGCCTGGTTTGTTTCCGTACTTACTTTCAGCGCGTCATATTTTAGTGGTTGCGTCACGTGTATGATTACGTCACATGTCTAAATATAGAACGTCAAACAGTGATTTTATGTTCAATAGGGAAAAATGCGTATGAATGTTAGAATATATCATATTATATTTTATTATACTTATTGGTTGTTATATCATATATTCTAACACGACCCACATTTTTCCCTATTGAACATAGAAGAACCGAAAGTGTGTGTTATTATGCAACAGAGTCACAGTTTGACGCTCTATATTTAGACATGTGACGTTATCATTATACACGTGACTAAACCACCAAAAATCTTACGCGTTGAAAATAAGTATGGAAACAAATCAGGCGCAATGTTGTTTAATATCAGGTACGTCAGCATTTATTTGTTGATGTCGTGTTAACTAGAATCGAAATAATATATCCAAATCGGCTTGATAGCATCGTTCGGATGCGCATCATTATATCACTCGGGCTATGCCCTTGTGATATAATGGTAAATAGTAGCGAGTTATCGTTCCTAATTGCCTTTATAGGTGGCGCTCTGCCTGTATTGGTCCATATCGATTGTTATCGATCGCCATTTGACAGCTTGTCAAAGGAAAGGCGTTCGAGTGTAAAAAGTAAACAAAAACTATCAAAATATGCCCGAAACACATTGCATTGTACCTGGATGTACAAATACTGGCGACCATATTCTCCCTAAAGCTAAATATCGTCGGGAAGCCTGGATTCAAGCTATAAAACGAGGAAAAAATACATATGAAAAGTGGTCACCTCCGAGCAAATACTGCTACATTTGTCGGGAGCATTTTGTCAACGACGATTACATATCCTACACATATCATGGTAAGTGCACGAATTGTCAGAAAATTGGATTATAAAATACTTTCTCATGTTCTGGTGTTTATTTTTTACCCCCTTTTAAACATTCACGACAATAATGAAAGTGACAGTAGAAAAAAAAACACTGTCTAAATCACGGACAGTGCTTTTCTCTCGTCGATAGATATAACATATGGTTTGTTACTAATATTAATCAATGTTGTAGCTTAAAACCTTTGAATGGATGTTCAGAATTTTAGACATATCTTTTGTTCACTTAATGAAATAATATTTTAAGCTATAGAATAGTATACTGTATGTACACCCATATGAAGGGACCTTTAACAAAGGATCCAAATGTTGACCATCATTTCATCTCATCTAGATGTAGATTCTAGTCAAATATTTAGCCCATAAGGAATGTTTTGAAAAGATGCTTTATAACCACACTTCTCCCTATTTCATAATCACTACACTGCCCCCTTCTTTAACAATTGAGAGTCAGTCTATGGCATCTCGTTCAATTCCATCTTGGAATCTTACAATTTTGCACCACAGGTACCTGAATTTTGATTTGTTTGAAGTGGCTTTTTTCATGAAAAATACATAATTCATTTCTTCAGGGACAACCCCGTCAAGAAAAACTTTGAAGAGAACTGCTGTACCAAGTGTGTTTGTATGGAAAACACCTAAACCTGAAAATGAAGAGCGCGCAAGTCGTTATGCATGTAGATCAGCAAAGAAGCGGACACTTCTAGATGACATAACTAACTGTGTAGAAAGGAAGGAAAACATAAATCCTGATATTGAAGTAATACAAACCAGCACTGATCTTGAGGATTTATCAGTGGGTTATTGTACAGAGATACAATGTGAAAATGACAGCATTTCAACAAATGATGTTTCAAACTTAAATAATGATGAAGTTGGACCAGTTAAATTTATGTCAGTTCCAACTCAAACATTAGACCAGCAAGGATTTACAATAGAGGACTTTAGAAATGACCCTCAAGGTGTCCATTATTATACTGGGTTGGAAGAATTTCCAAGTTTTATTTTGTATTGCAAACATTAGGACCTGCTGCATACTGTCTGACTTATATATATTTTCAAATCACATCCATTAGTGTTCCAGATCAATTCTGTATGGTTTTGATAAAGCTGAGGCGTCATACACCCAACTTTGAGCTTAGCAGAAATTTCAAGTGTTCTGACATAGCAGTTAGAAACATCATTATAACCTGGATTAAATTCATGGCTCTTCAGTGGCAAGAATTAGACATGTGGCCATCAAAGGAACTAGTTCAATACTTTGCCCCTAGTGGTTTTAAGAAATTATTCCCTTCCACACGTGTCATAATAGATGGAACGGAATGTCCAGTAAAAAAACCCAAAAAATCCTAAATCTCAACAACAAACATTTTCAACATACAAAAATAGAAATACAACCAAAATTTTGGTTGGAGCGACACCAGGTGGTTTAGTATCATTTGTCTCGGAAGCATATGGAGGAAGTACTAGCGACAGGCAAATAACAGAGCGCAGTTCCCTTGTCAACCTTGTTGACCCCAAAGACAGCATTATGACAAAGGTTTCAATGTTCAGGACTTATTCGCTCCCCGAGATGTACATATCAATATACCAACTTTTTTTAAAAAGAAGAACAGAATGACAATTGCAACTGTTGTTAAAGACAGGAAAGTCTCCAGTAAAAGAGTGCACATTGAGCGTGTCATTGGTCTTGCAAAAACATTTAAAATATTAGTAGAGCCATTGTCTGCGACTGAAGCAAAACTTTCATCTGACATTTTAAATGTTTGCTTTATGTTATGCAATTTCCGCTTAAGAATCGTGTCAAAATATGCCTAGGATATGAATCAAAGTAAATAAATAAGCAAAAACTGATATCAATTTACAATTTTAATTTTTTTAAAACAATTCAAGATCATATTTCATAATGATATATATGCATAAGAAACAAGTTTTGGGATGGGTTAAATGACCTTTTGGTTGACAGGTAATATGTTAGTGTCATATAACCTCAAAGTGTATACCTATATATCACCAAGTATTTGGTAGTGTCATATAACCTCAAAGTGTATACCTATATATCACCAAGTATTTGGTAGTGTCATATAACCTCAAAGTGTATACCTATATATCACCAAGTATTTGGATGTATCATATAACCTCTATGTGTGTACATATTATATCACCCAAGTATTTACTGGCATGAACTACAGTCACTAAGTTTAAATAATACATGAACACCATTATCAACTGTACTTAGTTTTATGAATTTTGTGAAAAAGATATAGAAATTCTATATTTTTTTATTAACATCATCTTTATATTGCTATAATTGCTGAATAAAATGTTACCAACATTTAATTTATCACTTGTTTTTCAATATTTTCTGATATAACCGTTTATCAATGCCTCTATTAAGGTTTAGCTTTTGTGATCATTTATCAAGCATTATCATTTAAAATTCACTTTCCTTTATCCTCTGTAATCATTGTAAAAATGCTTATTTAAAAGTTTCGGCTCAAAAAATTGTCTGTAAAATGCCTGCAATTTTGCTACCATACTTGAAATGAATTTATCATCTCGCTGGATTCTTAGCACTTTTGAGTCGGCAATTGAATAAACAAAAAAATCACAAAACTGTGCACTAGTGCAGAACAACTGCCCCTGAACCTGATAATAATAGTTATGATATTCGTTTAGTAATAGGACATTGTCTCTTTTCTTCATGTAAGGAACTGTCTTGTTTGTGATCTCCATACCACGAGCTTTGTATGGACATTTCACTTCCAGCAGAACACCAGAGGATGTAATGCCATCAGGTGAGGCTCCTAAATAGGGGAAGTCATGAGAAACAAAAAGTCCTGATTGATTCACCTTACATTTTAGTTTTTCTTCATATTTTCTTACTGCCTCTGTCTCATATTTGATTCCATGATCGGTAGCCTTTGCATGAAATGGTTTCGGATTTAAAAGTTCATCAGCCAACTTATTAAGATCTGTCCTTTCTGTGGCTTTACATATCCGTCCAAAGTGCGATGAAGTAATGCGCATACTGCGGTGTTCATGCCAGAGCTTGTTCTTTGTTTGACCCAGAGTTCTTAGTTCAATACCTTTTGCTTTTTCAAGACTAATGTTAAGGAGCCCAACACTTTCCAAATAAATGTCCTCTTGTGTTTTCTCAAGGTAGTCGTGGTCATGGACATAACCACGCACATTTGCAGGCTCAAACAATTGAAAAATAGGCATTTTTGAAACTTCTTTTGAAATTGAGACAAGTGTTCCTAAAGAAATCACTGTAGTTGGACATCTTGCGGAATTTTTGTGGACGTGGGTCAAAATCAACATTCGTTGCTTCATCAGCTCCATCCATATGTAAGTCACCCATTTTGACAGGTGAACCTCGCATCTGAACTCCAAACAGTGATGTTATTGAGCGATAAAATCACTGTTTGGGATATATTATTTCTTAATTATATAACACGCATAGGTTGTTATTTCATATAATACTTATTGGTCGTTATTTCATATTATACTTATTGGTTGTTATATTTAAGAAATAAAATATCCCAAACTATGATATTATTGCTTAATAACATCACTGTTTGGGGTTTGGATGCGGGGAAGTATATCGAGAGGGCGTAGCCCGAGTGATATAATGATGCGCATCCGAACGACAAAAGTGATTTTATCAAGCAATAAAATCACAGTTTTGGATTTTTTATTTCGATTTTAACACGACATCAACAAATAAATACTGACCTACCTGATATTAAGCTAAATTGCGCCTGACTTGTTTCCGTACTTATTGTCAACGCGTCACATTTTTAGCGGTTACGCCACGTGTATAATGATTACGTCACATGTCTAAATATAGAACGTCAAACAGTGACTTTATAGCATAATAGATCTAACACACACTTTCGGTTCTTCTATGTTCAATAGGGAAAAATGCGGGTCGTGTTAGAATATATCATATTAATTTAAGAAATCATTTATCCCAAACTGTGATTTTATTGCTCAATAAAATCACTGTTTGGAGTTTGGATCCGAGGATTATATCACGAGGGCGTAGCGAAGCACATCTGAACGAATGCTGCCGTAACTGATTTTAAGCTAAATTGCGCCTGATTTGGTTCCATATATATTGTCAGCGCGTCACATTTTTAGTGGTTACGTCACGTGTATAATGATTACGTCACATGTCTAAATTTAGAACATCAAACAGTGATTTTAATATTTTATAGCATAAAAACACACTCTTTTGGTTTTTCTATGTTCAATAGCCCAGGAGCGTACCTCGGCTTATTATGAATGTACGACGAGTGCCGGTTTTTAGCAGAAGGATCGCCAGAGACTTATATATCAAATATAGCTTTGTGCTGTAACTAAGGATTTAGGGGATATTTGAGCTAATTGTACTACTTTTGCCTTTATCTATTGTTATGAAAATAACATCAAGTACATATATTGAATGTAGGGGAAGCACGAAGTCTAACGTGTACACTGTTTTAAATAGTTCAAAAGTTATTTGCTTTTGAAAAACAAAACATAGCCAGGTGTCTCTCTTGTAAAAGGATTGATTTCCTTTTGTATGAAGTTTAGTTTTTTCTTTGTTATTTTATTTGTTTCACCATAACATAACGTGAGATATAAACAAGGAAACTATGTTTTAAAATGATCTGTATGACTTTAATACAAACACAACAGCGTAAAAAATGTTTAGTTAACGAAAAGTAATCGTATTCACAGTTTAAATGTAGTATCGCACGATCATTTAGCTTCCTTAAAATATTTTTAATGTGTATTATGTCCATGTTGTAAACAATAAATATTGTCTTTGACATTTTTGTTCTCAACTCTAGTCTTTCAATTTTCATTCGAAACATTTAAGATAGTTTATTACAAAGTATAATGCCTCACGCACATAAAGCATGTTGGTATATTAAACAGACTCGCCAATTTGTTATCTTAAGTCGGCGATGACATAATGTGTCTTATATGGTTATACATTGTTCTCGTTGTATATTTGTCTATGTTTTAAATATGCATAGATGATACTACGTATAATAAAGAATATATAGTGTAGAGATATATTTTGTAAATACTGGTATTCTTTTTTACGGTCAAATAAACCAAAGTTGAATTTGGTTTGTGACGATGGATGTTGGCAATAGTTCACTGCAACGATCTGATTCACAGTGTCAAAACTATTTATATAATTTGAAATGAATATAAGTTAAATGAATATTACTAACTCATTCGAATAAAGTAACATCCTAAGCATACCTGTAGAATCAAATAGCAGCTACGAATATTTTGATGATCTACGCCTAAATAAATGATTTCTTTTTTGACTTTTTTTCTGAAACTTTTTCTTTTTATACGCCCGTGCCTATTGGCGTATCGGTAGGTACGCCACTATAATAGGGAAAAATATCATATTATACTTAATTGATAGTTGAAATCATTTTTGAAACATATATCATGTCCTCAAAAGTTCTTAACGTTGATTGATGATGATGAATTAGGTTCCTTTGTGAACTTAGACAAATATTTATTAACCCTTTCCCTCATGAGCATATTGTAAAAATGGTCGTTTCATTGAAAAGCCTCCAGTTACAAGTTCAAACTGCTATGAAACTATGAAAAATGCTTAAATGCTAATCAAACTTGGCACAAATATTGACTGGACCATTGCCTTTGTAACGACATGCTCAGTCTTAAATTTCCTGTTACCATGGCAATGAGGGGACATCTCGAAATTGCCAAAAAATCACTATTTTGTGTTGATTTTTTCCATCAAAAATGATTTCAAAGTGCTGCTCTTTTTTAATAGATTGAGATAGAGTCAAAGGCTTTTCAGCGTTGGTTACACATTACGTTATGACCTGGGGTCATTTTGAACCTCTCATAAGTCCAAAATTTTCTTGGCGATGAGGGGGACTACCGCCCTCTTCAAACTCCCCAAACAGAATGGGCACATTCCCCTTCTGGCAACCTCCTGATGTACCTTTTTGATGGGGCGGTGCCGAAAAAGTGATCACTTTTTTAGCAACATTTCCCAAACGAAAAACAGTGTGTGGGGCCTAAATAGGGTAATTTTTCCACTGTTTGAGGCCTCAAAAAGGGGGCGATTGAAAAGCCGTCAAAACACGTCTATATGAAGTAAAGGGTTAAAACAGGCAACGCCATCATCACAATTTATGAACATTTTCATCTGTATCTTAATACAGTATGTCTCGTTGACCATAACTGGACGTCATTAGGTCACAAAACACTGACTTGGACTTGGACTGAATTATGACCCCATATATATACCTAGAAAATTCTTTGTGAAAGATATCTCTAAAAGTTTAAAACTGCTGAAAATATTCAAAAACCTATTGCACTTGTGCGTGTTCATGTTTTCTTTTGGAATTAAATTAGGAAATCCAGTTTCAAGTCCAATAACTCTGACATGAATTCTCAATAAATAAAGATAATGGCCCTTAATGAACTTACACAATTTTTTGTTCTATATCTTAGACTCAGATGTTATACAATTGCAATGGTAATACTACAATATTCAAGGGTTTGTTTGACTATGAACCACTGTAAATAGTCGAGCGTGCTATCATATACCATACCTAATTTTATATAAGTGAACCATAAAATGACATGTTTTCACAATAATTTTTTAAGAAAAAGAAACTGAAAGTCAAACAAAAATTGATAATTTATTTACAGAAGTACAATAGTCTTGATTTAAAAAAAAGTAAATATAGATATATGTTAAATTATAAAATTATCAATCATTTTACATATCGTACACACACAAATAAATTATATTATAGCAACAATCTTTCGTAATAAAATGATAATATATCAACAATATTATTTAATGTCACTTTGATAAGAATAGAGAAGAAGACAGTTTTATTACATGTACTTTACATGAAAAGAACTATGCAGATATTTTATTTCAGACTTCAAGACAATGTACAAATAATATACTATAGTCACATAACATTCAGGGATCATGAATATAGATGTATCTTTTTCTGGTCCAATATAAAATCGTCTTTATTATAAATATAAGCAGCTATATACATATTTCCTACATGGAGAATCAACCAATAATTTTCTACATATTTTAAGACAAAGATAAATTACCTCTTTTGACATAATCCTACAGTGTATTTGAACATTCAGAAAAACCAGGATTTATATAAGAGTTTACTTTTTTGGTACGAAGGTAAAATAACTCTTATACAAAAAGTTTAAATGATTTCAAACATAAGACATTCCTATATACAACCAAGGTTCTTTCGGAAAATCAACAAATAACATTAACGTTTATTTTCTTTTAAATTGTTCGAGTCTTGTACCACAAATAACAATATGTTCAAAAGGAAAACAGTCATTTTTGTGTAAAAAGAATCTTGACTTGAGCTTTGTGACTGGATCCCATCGTGGCGACTACCTGATAATCAGAGTCCTCGTAGATGATTGGTGAAATGTCGCGGTGAAATTCTTTTTTGCCGTACTTTATCAGCTCATTAATATGGCTATTATCATACATACTTGCGAAGCATTTTTTTCCTATCGGATGTTCTATGTATCCTGGTTTTGTGATACCTACAGCAAGGGTGTTGTTGTACAAATTATGGTCAAATGGTGCACACCACATAACAATAAGGCGACGTCGTTCACGGTCATCTGTGGATTCTATAAGCCATGAAACTGTCCCGTATGAACCTGTAGCAGTATAGCCAATTTTACGAGCTATCATTGCTTCCCTCGTCTCAGGAAATATAGTAATAGGTGGAATTGATAAAACCCCGCCATTTATATAAGCCCGAGGCATTGTTAGAGAACAATTTGTCCTGTTCTCGATCTCTATTCCACAAGTGACACTGTAACCATCGGCCATTAGCGAGTTTAGAGTTGTTCCTGCTAAACTGTTTCCGGCACGAACATAACCAGCCTGAACGCCTATTTCCGAAGTATGCATTATAAATATACGTATACAAATCCAAAGATTATCGCTAAAACGTTTAAAAATTGTTCAAAACTGTGTGTGTGTGTGTATATATATATATATATATATATATATATATATATATATATATATATATAATAATTAATATATCTTGTAACACTTCCTTCCCATAAATTATGTTGAATTCGAAGTTGGACCGTGTCCAAAAGCGAGTTAGTTTACATAATAAACACCCTCCCGAGATGATAATTGCGCGCGCATGATTAGTATAATATACAGGATATTGAATAAGTGTAACTTCAATACTGACAAGAATTTATAATTCAAATATGCCCTCTGGTGTACAATTTAAAACCCATCCGACTAAATGTCAACAGGTTGTTTTTTGTACTTTCGGTTTAAATGAATATAGAAATAATATATTGTTTGCTTTTGTATCTATGAATTCACTTATTTTAGGTAGATTTTTACTACATATATTGGAAATAAACTTGTCAACAACTCCCAGCATTAAATTACTATTTGTTAACATGTTTAGTTTTTAGCGTAGGTTAGACCGAAATACTGCATTCGTTCTGTGTATTTGGCGTCCGCGCCAAAGCGCGACGCCCCTTATGGAATGAAATCAGATTTTGTGAAAGGGTGGCAGCAACTTCTCGGGCCTTTTCGTCGGTAATAGCCGATCATTCCGATTGGTATGAGGGTATTTCATCATTGTATACACACCGGTCTCTCAAATATCGTTTTGATAGATGAAAATATGTTTTGATGGATGAAAATATGTTTTGCTAAATGGTGAGGTCGTTTTGATAGATGGTGATGACGTTTTGATAGATGAAAATATGTTTTGATAGATGGTGATGCCGTTTTGATAGATGATGGTGTCGTTTTGATAGATGAAAATATGTTTTGATAGATGAAAATATGTTTTGATAGATGGTGAGGTCGTTTTGATAGATGAAAATATGTTTTGATAGATGGTGATGCCGTTTTGATAGATGATGGTGTCGTTTTGATAGATGAAAATATGTTTTGATAGATGAAAATATGTTTTGATAGATGAAAATATGTTTTGATAGATGGTGAGGTCGTTTTGATAGATGAAAATATGTTTTGAAAGATGGTGAGGTCGTTTTGAAAGATGATGGTGTCGATGTGATAGATGATGATGTGGTTTTGATAGATGAAAATATGTTTTGATAGATGAAAATGTTTTGATAGATGGTGAGGTCGTTTTGATAGATGAAAATATGTTTCGATAGATGGTGAGGTCGTTTTGATAGATGAAAATATGTTTCGATAGATGGTGAGGTCGTTTTGAAAGATGATGGTGACGATGTGATAGATGATGGTGTCGTTGTGATAGATGAAAATATGTTTTGATAGATAAAAATATGTTTTGATAGATGGTGACGTTAGTTTGATAGATTTAGTGTGGCTTTGATAACTGGTGATGTGGTTTTGATAAATGTTGCTGTCATTGTAGTACATGGTGTTGTCATTATATTAACAATGTTTTGGTTTTGATGTATGGTGTTGCCATAAGTTCAAACCCCTTAAAGAAAATACATTGTTTCATTGAGCAAGAAACTGTACACTCATAGTTTAGTACTACCATCGAGATTGCGTCTATAAGCTTATAGCTTCCATTACAATCGAACAAAAACAAATTGTGTATAAAGTAAGTCGGATACACATTAAAATTAAAGCGTAGAGGGTTGATGTTGTTCAGTTCCACATAGTCATAAAGTCTCAAAAGTCTATATACTCGTACATGTATGTTCGAATGATAAAGATTTACATAAACTATTTTAAAGGCATTGCAAACAACATCTTATGAAGCCCGTGTTATTCCATTCAAAACATGAAAAGACAAATTAAAAGGTAAAATGGCTTCTTTGCGATTCAATCTGCAACCTATAAAATACCCAAAGTAAAAACAAAAAATACTTCTAGACACCTTTTTTTCTATTGAGTTCATCACGATACGAACTATTTAGTAATATGTTAATTGTGAAAAATAATTATTTGGTTGTTAGTGATAAAGTGAGTTGGATTTTTTTTCGGACGAAATCCGTCTGAGAGAACAGTTTGACATCCTGTAAAATATAGAGAAGTGTATAGAGGTAGAATATCCATTGGTCATTTTAAATATACAAACTGAAATCAGGGAATCTCATTGGCCTTTCTAGTTTAGTAAAATAATATAAAGGATCATTCTTAATTACTATAAAAAGACTAAAGGAGTTTCGGAAACAAATTTCTATTTAAATTTCTCGTTAATTTTAGACCTTTTAAACGTGCTTACTTACGTCAAACATTTTAATTACAACAGTTTAACACTGCTTTTAAACTTTCATTACAAACTAATGAACAGGTTATTTAGCATAAGAATTAACGGTGATATAGATAACATTTTATATAAGTTTGGGCCTTTTTTCAATCATTTATTTGTTTTCTTTGAATTTTATCGGTTACTAATTATTTCTTCTTATGTATGATTTTAGTGATTAGCATGTCCGTGCTCTGCCTTGTTCCCTGTCCTGTATCTGTTACGGGTCCTCCTGGGCTCCTTGCCACTTGCTCTTGTTGCTGGAATGTGTGAGGGTAGCGTTCATTTTACGCCGTCTTTCCTTGTTGATCTTGTTTATCATACAGTATAAAATAACGAGACCAACAATAATGCTCACGATCCTGGAAACGCATGTGCATGAAAATTCCGAAAGACACATCATTAAAAACTCCGAACTCTTCTGGTATTCTCAGTAGATTATGTTCAGTGTTCATGATATCATATGAATATTGTTGATGTGTTTAATTGATTTGAATTTCATTGAAATTCTCATACATATAATCTTTGCATATTATTGAAGCACATATTAATGTGCACCCAATGAATATACGTCAGGGTAAATAACAGTTACGGAAACAAGAACATTATTTAAGTGTTTCCTAGATCTAACCATTAAATGCTATGTCAACTGCAGTAAGAGTAATTTTACAAAATAATTTAAACCAATAAATGTTACATGGAATCTTTTCGGTATTTGCATGGGTGTCCCAGATCCAAAAATGATATATGAATTATATTTGAGTCTAAAATGGCATTCATCATCTATAAACGAAATACAGGAGGAAACATAAATTCGTACGAATCAAATTATATTTATTTGTGGTTGCTGTTTTCGACAATTATTACAAATTAAAAATTATTTAAATTCTAAGTAAATGTATGAGAAAACACTTATCTATTATTCAACTACTGATAGTGTTAAAACAAAATTACTTCTTTTACTGCAGTAATAAATAAACAAAAAGTTATATCTCGAATATGGGAATTATACCCTTTTCGCGTGGTTAGGTCGTATTTTTTGTTTTGTTTTTACATACACTTCAATGAGGATTTGAAAACTGTATTGATATAATATTATAACAGTACTGTTCTTTCATTGATTCTAAAAGAAAAAAAGAACTCAAATGATACAAGTTTTTTTTCGCCTGTCATATATCAGTGTAGTTTTTTTAATAATGGCCCAGTTACACAGACGGTCGGTCCCCAATCGGTCATTTAATTTTAAATTTACTCGCTATTATGATCGGTTGTCATGCGTGATTTTATTTCTGGTTTATTGTGTAAACGGCCATCGGTGACAGACAGCAAACTCAAACGGGAATGGGTCGATGATTAAATGCTGAAATAATTTTGGTTTTTATCGTTTGTAAATCGGAACTAAATCGGGCGTAACGCTGATTAATCTGTGTTTGATAGCAAAAAACTCTCCGTCAGATATGGCCGATGATTCATATTTGGTTATCTTTGTCCGATCGGCGATGTCGGTGATTAAGAGCTTGCATATCTCGTGATATAGGTTGCTGTCCGTTATTTGTAAAAAGTTTTCACCGATCGAGAATTTTAAACATGTTTTTCACCGATGAAACTTATCTTTCCCAAATAGCAGTTGATAGGTGGAAAACAGGTGACCAAAAGGTGATATCAGTGTTAAATACGTTGTCATCGTTTCATAATTTGGCTAAAATAACTAGCGATCAATCACCGATGGCTCTGTGTAACTGGGGTGTTACAGAGGTTGGAATGTGGCGGGGATATCACAAATTCCCAGCAACAAAAAACATAGTTTAATGTGCTGGTTTTTACGGAAGCTTATCAGGGCCTACAGTTGGTGAGATGTTTTGCACTCAGACGACTTATGTTTATTCGCATTGATAAGATGTTTTTGCATTTCTCAATAAAACTTACTGACAAAGATGAAAAGCTTTAAGGCATTGCAACTGAATTTTTCTCGATATGCTTGAATCTTTTGTCTCCTCGACAAAAAAACTGTCGAAACTTCTTGATTTCACGACTTTGCTGAAATATTTAGTAAGACGCAAAGATGTTACTTGCATTGACAAATAGCTCACGCAATTCAACAAAGTTTTTTGCAATGATTAAAACTTCTACGTATTACGTATTAATTAAAACGTCTTCATCGAATGTATTATGTTTTACGTACTAATTATAACGTGTTCATTGAATGTTTTTGGTCAAAACGAGAAGAAATAAGTTGACGTGACGTGACGTGAAACTTTTAGATAAGTGGAGGCCCTGATAAGCTTCCGTAGGTTTTAGTACAATAAGATGGAAAATATGGAGTTGCGATAAAACAGTTATAATAAATGAAATTTGTTAACCACGGGGATATAACATTGGCAGTCTATTTTTTTAATATTATATACATTGTACAAATAATAACTTGAAAGTTCTTCATAAGTGAGAGCTATATGATTTATCACTATTCCTTATCTTGAAAGTAAAAAATGTTTATCTTTAAGACAAAATTGTTAGATTAAAACAACTGGTAATTAAAGAAAACTGTTCAAAAATTATTTTTTCTGAATCTGGCTTTTTATATTCGCAGCAAGATCTTCAAATTTCTTCGGTCTAATATGAATCTTGACTTGAGCTTTGTGACTGGATCCCATAGTAGCAACTATCTGATAATCAGCGTCCTCAAAGATGATTGGTGAGAAATCGCGGACAAATTCTTTCTTTATATACGGCAATATGGCGACCTTCTCATCATAATACATTTTGTCGAACCATGTTGGTCCTACCGGATGTGACGTTTGTCCTGGAGTTGTTATTCCTACAGCAAGGGTGTTGCTGTGAATGTTAAAGTCGTACGGTGCTGACCACATGACAACAAGTCGACGTTGCTGACTAACAGCTGTCGATTCTATGAGCCAAGACGCAGTCCCGTAAACACCTGTAGCGGTACCAGAAGCTTTGTGAGATATCATCACCTCTTTCTTTGCCGGTAATATTGTCACAGGTGGAGACGAAAGAGTTCCTCCCTTTACGTGAGCAATAGGAAAAGCTAAAACGTATTTTGTCCAATTTTCTATTTCGATACCGCACGTGACCGCATAACCGTCTGCCATTAACGCACTCATTGTTGTTCCCGCAACACTGGTTCCCGCGCTTACCGCGGCCGCCGCAGCAGAAGTTATTGCTGATATTGTTGCACTTATTGGCTCATTTTGGTCATTTTCATCAACTGGAAGACAAAATGTCGGAAGAATAAGTCCAAGACAGGACAAAATAAGCACTAAATTGCTGATTGTTAACATTTTAGAACTATCGGCACAAAATTTTTAAGTATGTTCCTATGTTGCTCTTACAACAAGTTTTGTTTCTCAACCGATCACTTCTACCATATAAATGGGTCTAGATGACACGTCAAAGGTCGACTGATAAGATAGTTTCATCATGCAGGTAAAACATGTAACATTAAAACTTACTTTGCTTTTTTCTATTGACATAAGCAGAAAATACTGCTGACACGCATGTTACATGTGGAATGTCGTTTAAACCTTTAAATTAACTATGCTTTATCACTAGGCGGTGTTTTTTAAACCTTTATCAGTACCGGGTGTAGCGTGAGATTCGTCAGACCACGTGAAAAATGTAAGATCTTACGAATCTCACGGGAGGGTCGTGAAAAATGTCAGACGTGAGAAACGTAAGACTATTTTAGTGGAGAAACATTTCCTGTTGCAATTAAATTAAATACTGTCAATATTCCATTGCATCAATAAAGTAATGGTTAAAGCGAAGGAGTTATGACTGTTTTTACGAGTAAATAATAACAAATTTAATCAATGTTTCGGCTTTAAAATAGCCGCTCGGATAGTTCATGATTTTCTACAAATTAATTTTGGATTTTTATATTTTGCATAGATCTACTATGAACGTAACTAATTGACCACTCCTTATGTTTTTAAAATAAAAACATACCAATAGTGAATGTTGCTGTCCATCTATGAGTGAATTACACAAATGCCGAGTTATAGTAAATTGAAATCATCTTGTTCGGCCCTAAATGAACTCGACCGAGTCGATCATCTCGGCCACGAACTGCATCCGTTCAAATAATCCTTATGATCTGTTTAAGAAATTATCAACAGACGTTTTGTGATAAAAAATAACACAAGCGGGTATTAATTAATTTTACATAGGGTAATACTTGAACAGGCTGGTGCTTTAAAACCTATAGATACCACACTGTGACAGACCCAGCACAGTGTTGGGATAGTGTAAAAAAGGTAATTCTAGTGTAAAAAGGTAATTCTAAAAAATATATATATATATATATACTGTATATATAATATATAGACTTTATTAGATATACAGTATATATATTTTTTTAGAATTACTTTTTTACACTATCCCAACACTGGGCTGTGTCCCTGTGATAGATACCTTTTATCACAGACACTTGGAGTGCCTTTAAAATCCAAATAAGATATATCTTTGTCAATCCCAGCACATGTGACTGGTAATTATATGTAAAAAAAATAATATAAGCTGTTTTGAAAAACAAAAATCATATTTCAAGGTCTAAAAATAATACACACACACACACGAGCTCCACATCCCAAGTGTCTGTGCCTTTTAACTACACTGTGCTGTCCTAATAAACTTACATGCTAGAAGATCTTTCCTTTTAGCAGAGGAGATCTACACATTCTTTCAAGCATCACTGGTTGCAGAATACACTATTGCAGGGAATGATTGGGTACCAAATTTATTGTAAGCACCAAACTATAATCTTACAGCAATGCTACACCAATAAATTCAAAGTTCCTGGCAAGTTCAAACACAACCATAGTTAGGTGCTCAACATTTTATATTTCCAAATAATGTACAACCCCAAAAAACATGTTTCAATCATAAACATGATCTTTAGACTTGTAATCAAGTTTTCACTTTTCAAGTCATAACAGTCAGGTAATAAACATAAATTATAACTGAAGAAATAGAGGATAGCCAAGTTTTTTCTATAAATACAATATTTATTTTCATTGCGTGGAATAAACATAAATATTTCATGAGTGGTGGTTGCCACAAGTGAAACATGATAATTTTTCATACTACAAACTATTTATAGAAAATACTTAAATTTACTTGTTTATTATATGCATTTCTCTTTTTTGACATCACAATATGAAAGACTAACTCGGCTGAATATAGCAGAAATTAGTCTGGCAAGACACCGGTGAAAATATGTTTAACTGCATTGAAAACTATTTTTTTTGCAGTGAAAATAAGGAAAGTGAAAATAAGCATTTAATTTCATGATGACATCAATATTTCTCATCATTTTATTTATAAGTATGTAATAAAGAAACATAACCTGGAAATACCATATTTCCAGCTTGGAAAGAGGTGCACATCTTCTCTTCGAAATGTTCTTTTATATTCGTTTCTGCCAGGTACTTACATACCAGTTCGAATACCAATATTAAATAAATACCCAATTCTTTCATATATTAATCAAAACACAAATCAGCAAAACAGTTTGTACAAAAATTAATTTTCATCAATAATTAATATATTAATGTTAAAGAAGTTATTTTACTGTTAACTAATCTTTGGGGGGGGAATAATAGTGGGTTTATAATAAAACTGACACTGGAGAATCATATGGCAAAGTTTCAACCATGACTGGTGGAAAAAGGAAAGATACACTTAGATATCATTTCTGGCTTGCACCAGAATAAAACTTATAATATAAGCTATACTTAGACATTTTATATACTTAATATTTATCAGTATTTGTCCTAGATTCTAACTGCTTTGCTAGATAGTCTCAAATTAGAGTATTTTTTTTCCTTATCAGATCTGAAACACGACCGAAAAAAAAAACCACGAACGACCACACAACACAAATTATCCATGCTAGAGGTATTGGTAAACACGTCACAAAATTTCTTGCATATCAGACAGGATAATCTACTGTTTGCGCGGGTGCTAAAAACCACCTGCTTACACCCCTGGCTTTTAAAGGGAATTTCTAGCTCACGGGTAACTGTTTACAAAAAACTCTGCAGCAGAGCATATTGCCGAAAAAACAATTATGCTTAAGCTAGATGTTCAGATCTGTACTGACAGCTGGTGTAAGATTTTTTATGTTATCAACCAGTATGACTGGTTCCAGTTTTGAATACATTCAGTGGTTTGTAGCAACCAAAGTTTAATGCAAAATCATTAAAGCAGAAATATGCACATTTCACCTAGAGAAAAATCCTTTTTTAAGCTATCAAGCACTTTGAATTATTTAAATAATAATATTAATAAAATTATAGGTTAGTAATATGCACATTTTGTAGTTTAACTGATCTTTTTAGTCACACTTGTTGTCTAAGTATAAATCATTTCCATATATAAATGACTAAGTTATGAATCATTTCCATAAAATAAATGACTAAGTTAAAAATGTAAGTGAAATTCAATCATCCGACCTGGATGGTCAATGTCATTTTAAAGTTATAGCTGGTTATATGGATTTCATTAATTTGACCTTGACGGTCAATGCAATAACTTACCTTCCAGTTCAAGATCATTATGAGTGAAGGTCAAGTTTGTGTTTGATTAGCTTGAAGGTCTATCCTAACAGATTGTTGTTTTCAAGTTTGAAGAAAAATCCATTCAAAATTATCAAAGTTATAGCCACTAATAGCAAATTTGGACATTTGACTTTGAAGGTCAGGATCATTTATGAATGAAAGGTCAACTTTTGTCTAGTCTACTTCAAGGCCCTGCCCAAAGATATTCGAGCCGTGTCACGACAAAACCAACATAATGGGTTTGCGACCAAGCATGGATCCAGACCAGCCTGCACATTAGCGCAGTCTGATCAGGATCCATGCTGTTCGCTTACAAACCCTATTACAAGTAGAGAAACTTGAATGCAGCACAGCATGGATCCTGATCAGACTGGCGCGGATGCGCAGGCTGGTCTGGATCCATGCTGGTCGCAAACCCATTATGTTGGTTTTGTCGTGACACGGCTCATTTTGTGGCAAAGTATGAGGAACAATACAGCAGGATCTTAGCAATGTTATGATCAAGTTGTAAGTTTGCGGACAACAACAGGAACACTGCCATGACTGCAACAATAGTGAATACCCTCTGTTTCTTTTTTCGTAAAAAAAAAATTCTAACTAAAAAAATCAAACAAGGTAAAGTAGTGATCCTCTGGCACTGTAATTCTTCAAAAATGGTCTTCTATCAATGTGTGAAGTTTTTATCAGGGGACATCTCTGGCAGAGTGGTTATGGTTGTTGACTTCAAACCACTAGCCCCTTACCACTGTGAATACGAATCCTGACAGGGGACTTTAGATTCTGCATGTAATGAAGCTATAATAGCTAGCTTAAGGAATGTCATTGGCTCTACTCGGGTTCCAGTCTGGACCAGAAATAATGCTAGTCGTAGTGCTTATGATTATGTTTCAAATAACAAATGATACATATGTACTTCAAAATTGTGTCAGACAAAGTGTGTCCTAACCCTAGACATAAGTGTTCAGGGTAAAAACACAGCAATATCAGATGAATTTATATTTTTCCAACTTTCACTATCTGATGACACACAAAAGTTAAAATTAATTTTTCTTTGCATATTTTCAAATACTTTACCTGGTATCAACTTAATTTTCTTATGTAAAAAATGAATGAAGATAATTTTTTAATACAAAACAAACGTCCAAGGGGACCCAAGCTCGATAAAAAAAAGGAGACAAAATTAAAAAGAACAAGACGATCAGTAAAATTTAGGCGCCCAAGATGGCCCAAATTTTATTTTGGACAAATTTTTTGACAGCTGCAGACGACAACAGGCCAAATAACTTGGGATGATCATTCCCTTAAAAATTTTTAAAATTGACCAAATTTAAAAGGGTTTGGACAACTTAGTATCGGCAAAAACACGAAAAAAAAATTTTTCAAAAGGGCCCTAAAATCAGCCAAAAAACATTCAACCAATAACCCGTCAATATCGCAAAGGGCTTGACACAGAACAATCCTGTAAGGTTTCATTGAAATTGCATTAGTGGTAAAAGAGAAGTTGTCCGGACAAACTTTAAAATTAAAATTATTAAAGGGCCATAACTCTGACAAAAAATCATTGAACCGGAAAATTCTGCTAATATGCACAACTAGACTTGGTACTGATCATTCCTGTAAATTTTAGATGAAATTGCACCAGTAGTTTATGAGAAGTAGTCCGGAAAAGTTTTGTGACGGACGGACAGACAGACAGACAGACAACGGAGAAGTGATCCCTATATGTCGCCTATATGGCGACACAAAAATCAAATTTTTTACAATCATGTATTAAGTTATAGTAAAAAATAACATTTGTTAAAATAAATTCAAGATCAAGGGGAATAA